ACATGCAAGTGTTCTGGGCTTTGGCTCCCAGCAAGCTGTGTGCCCGCCCTAAGTGAAGGCGGGCCTGAAAATCCATGAGAGGCCTAGTTCGGACATTTTTCCTTATGTTGGGTATCAGACTGTTGCAGCACGCCAGTTGGTTACAGAGCAACGTGCGCCTCTCCTGGCTCTTCCCAGAAGAAGCAGCTGCGAGTACAGTTGAGCCCAGGGCTCGGGTGGTTGCGTCCTGGGCACACGCAGTGTGAGGCCGACACATCACGTAGTGGCTGTGGGCCAATGAGAAAGCAGCATTGTTGTCACACATCGACCACGAGCCAATGGGAATGCGGCAAACACTTGGAGCTGGAGGGCTGCCTAGACGTGCCCAACTGTAAAGAGCCCAGGCCTGTAACAGCAAAGGTGGGCCTGGGCGCAGACACTGGGGCCCGACTGGAAGCTACTGGAAACTTGCCCAGCCAGGCCCACACGGCCAGACAAAGAGGGCTGCACTTTCCTTAAAGGAAAGTGCCCTGCCCAGGCAGTGGCATTCAGGCCTGAGCAGGCAATGCGGCCATGCTGCTGCGCTGCCTTGTGATGCTGCGCTAAACAGCCAGGCCCGGGCGCACGCGGGCGCACAGAGGTGAGAGGGGCGCTGCGGTAGCAGCGGGCACACAGCAGCCATAGCCGGGCTGCACGTGCTGTGGCAGGTGATGCCGATGGTGGTCTTCGGGTAGGAGGCGCCTGCAGAGGGGAGACAAGGTGTGATGAGGGGAGGAGAGAGAACGTACCTGGTGTATGCTGGCAGTCGGCATTGGTGATGACGTCACGTACATTGGTCTTCAACTTCGATGTGATCTGGTTGCATGAACGTAGGTAGATGTAGATAGGCTGGGTAGTGTAGGCTGGGGGATGGGCGCCATTCGGTAGGGGGACATTGGATACTGTGTTGGTGTGGCCAGAGAGCGTCGGCATTGACATACGAGTTCATTGTATTGCTCCTATTTGGATGGTATCTTGGTGCGTTGTGCTCTCTGCTTGGTACATGGCTATCTGGCCTACTTTGTGATTTTGCAATCTGGATTTCTGTCTATCGCTCTCGCTCATATTCCTTGCAGAAACCATTCTCGAGTGATAGAAATGGAAAATTTCATCTGTTAAGGATCATAGAAAGCACATGAAAAGCACTTGTTACTCTATTGCATGGAACATTCAGCACAGTAGTGATAAAGATGACAACCCTCCTGGAATGTAAACACCGGTTTTCTTTCAGATGGATAAAGTAGAAATGGAGAAACTGCATTTATGATAAGGACTTTTCGCAAGTGTGCAAGAAGTACATTGCTTGTGCATGTGCATAATCGGCTCTGTGCATGGTGTGTGATGCAGGTGCAGGGGGTGCTGTTTGCTGTGTGCTGTATGCTGTGATGAGGGTGTGTGAAGAGGAGCGCTGAGATGTGTGGGGTTTGCACAGGGATTGCCGGGAGTGTGCAGGCCGGAGCAACAGTCCTTAGGAGTCAGCAGGTGTGCTAGAACAGTCGTGTAATACACGTGTTCAAACACCGTGCACACAGAGCTCACAGATGTGAGAGCGGCTCAATCGTCAACCAATTCGTAAAACAGGCTTAGTCAGCCAGGCCTTTCATATCCGCAGACTCATTCATTCACGATAAGTAGCGCTATGATCGATCGTTCATACAATAAACCATCATCATAGCCTTCACGACTTAGTTACCACATTACTTGATTCTATTTGTAGGTTCTGTCCACACTCATTTGTACCCGATACAAGACCACATCGACTTCATTCACATTGACTCAATGACATGACCGCGCTCCTGGACTTCATTCACAGAGACTCCGCACTAGTAGACGACTCCACACAGGTGATAGAACACGTCTGTACTGCTGCCATTCACAGCGTCATCAGTGGCTAAGGGTTTTTTTTTTTTTTTTTTTTTTTTGTCAAACAGAACCTCATGGTTCTGGCTCCTACCATTCTGGGGAGCTAAAGTCCGGTTCCTTTTTCCCCGGCAAGTCAATACAAGATACATAAGAGACTCACGCACGCTTCCCCCTCATTATGGCTGGGAGGCCTGAGTGGGCGGCATTGATTACTTCCCCGAGGAAGGATGTACCACCCCTCACCCCTGCCTAAGTTAGCCTGCACTATCTCAGTTTGCCAATCCAACTAATCCCAGTTCTGCTCCTCTCAATTTTGAAACTGTCGGGTGCGTGTGTTTTACCAGAGTGTCCTGGGGCGCTTATGATTTTCTTGAAGAAGTTTCAACTTTCAAGTCTAAAACCCTAAATCTGTAAAATTCCTAAACCCTAAACCCAGGGTTAAAATGCTGCCGTGATTTACCCGTCCCTAGTCCAAGATTTAAAACCTGAGCTGTTCCTCGGCCCTAAACCCTGAAACTTCTCTGAAGTTTAATCCTAATGGAATGATAATCATTATCCTAACCTACTTCATGCTTCTCTTAAAGTGTCATTCTTCTTTTACCACACCTAGGTTAACTGATTGTGATGGTGCTGGAACTAGTGTCGACAGGTATTGTGCTTGGTCTTTCTGGTCTAACTGTTCAGTTGCTCATGGGAAGGATTCCGGGCCCTTATTCCCTCCCTGCTGCCTGGTCATTCTGAGTCCTTGCTCGAGGCTGTCCTATTCCGCCTTAATACTTACGGTGGCTTCATGCTGGGATATAGAGCGATCTAAGTGCAGGTCTGACACTCTCCTATGGCCCGTAAACCCTAAACCCTCTTCATGCTGTGTTTCCCTGTAAGGGTAGAATGAGGCCGGATGTCCCTTCTCAATCACTCCAGGTCCATCGGTGTTTCTCCGTCCTCTTCTGTCATTGGGGCAGCTGGAATCCACCGGTCTGTGAAATGGAGGGTTCTTCCCGTTACACGTGCCAGTAGACCTCCCTTTAGCCATGTCTTCTCAAATTCTTTCTGTAGCTTGGTCTTTTTCTGTGCCTCCCCTTCCTTCTCCATCCTGCTCAGGGTTTGCTTCCATTCCGCTCTGACTCCTGTTTCAACTAATTCTTTCACCTTTTCCCATGATTCGTTAGTTGATATCTTCTTTTTGCAAATTGTGCCCCCCCCATCTAGCTCTCCAGATTACCCACAAGGTTGTTCTTCTCAGCAGCTCTATGATTTCTCTGTCTTTCTCGGGGACTAAGCCTTCGTGGTCGATTGCTGTCAAGAGGAAAAGTCTGAAAAGTTGATCCATGGGGTAACTACTCAAAAGGTAAGATTAACCTGTGTTTACTATTTAGTACTTTTGCTTAAATACTCCATGTCTACTGCTCTAACTCCTATTCTCGAAAAACACGAAAACAGCACTCGCGCCATCCGGTCCTTTCATTCAAAAATTCAAAACTCGAAAATGAACTCCCGCCACACACCCGTCAACTGCACTCACGTCAACTGCGCTCTTTTTCTGAAATTCAACAATACTCCCCGCATCATACGCCCGCCAACTGCGCTCGACTTCACTCGTTTACGAAAACATGGACAGCTTTGGAACTGCCTCCTTTCCACATAAGTGCCTCGTAACTCTTTCCACACCGGAGGCTCACAGTCATGCTTTGCCCCTAGACCGCTGCGGCACACCGCTTTTTCCGTGCGGCCGTTTTCCTACCCGCCATTCTTCATTTTGGCCACCCGCTCCTGGTTTGGGTCCGGTACTTTCACATAGGAGCTGTACCCAATCTTCCCAGGCCCCTTCTGAAAGTCAGAAAATCGTCGTAGCCTGGAGTCGAAGTAGTTGTCAGGGAACCCCCTCCTGTGGAGCTCTATTTTCAGGGTTAGGAGGGTGGGTTCAGCCTCCATCTTGTTCAGCATATGGTCCCAAATCCGGTGGAGGTACCCAGTAAGGACCGCCTTCTTGGTTTGCACCGCGGAAGACTCGGAAGTCCTCTAGTCCCTGGAATAAAATTGTCTACCCCTTTAACAATTCAGGTCCAATAGCCGTTAAGGTCATGCATTGCACCGATGGGGGGAACATCTCAATGTGCGACTCACACCCCAAAAAAGGCCAGGCCTTCATACCCTCGTACAGTCCTCTTCAGAGTTAACTGTTCATTGTAACAATGTTCAAAGTTCTCCAGAATCTCCATGGCCTTGCGCAAACTCTCCCTTCTGTCAATCTGGATGAATACAGAAACGTCATCGACTAATCTGCAAGTTCATTGGAGCAGGTGTGCCCTGGCGGACATGTCTACTGGATTTGTTTCGGTGCCCGAATTGATGGGCAAATGGGAATGCCCAGGCATGACAATCTGCAGGCACTATTCTCTTTGCCGGACTGCTACTGTTAAACATGGTGACTTTTACCTGTGTAACAAACCAACCTATGCTTGTGTCACCCTGTAGTGTGGACGCTTTCACTATGCAAGCCCCCTCCGATCTCCAGGGAAAATTTGCCACCCTGTAGTATGGGCTAGCAGATCAAAGCCCAAGTGCTGACACCGGCTTGTGTGACAGCAGGGCTTGAACCCTTAACCTCATACTACAGGCAAGGTATGTGGCTTTCAAGATGAATCCATTGGTTCTTGAATATGTACTTATTTGTCCCTCAGGTCTTGGTCTGGGCCAGTACAACAATGTTACTTCGATTTTGCAGTTTGCCCCTGTGCCGAACCAGGACCACAAGGAACAAATTCGGTATAAAATGCAAGTGTGACACTAGACTGTTCGTCTGGTTATTCCAGTTTGGAGTTCATTCCGCTGATGGAAACTCCTAGAAATTGCATCCAGGTTTGTGTCTCCCTCTCAACTCAGGCTTGTCAAGTCCTGTGTGTGAGTTTGCTCTCTTACCCTCTCCTGGTATGATCGAGTTCTATGACAGCTTCTCAGCATAAGTCATTTCGAAGAGGCTCTTGCTCAGACTTCAAGTGTGATGTATCTGCAGCTTTCTGGGCACCTTTTCAATGCTAACCGTCAAAACAAGTACCAAGTAATCCCATTTTCTAAATGCTAACCGAAAGTACGCTTGTGGCTGTGATCATCATTTGCAGAAAACTGCTGAAGAGGATATACAAACTGAACAATTGTAGTTGGAAGCCTGAACGGATTCTGTTCTACAGGTAGGGGAATTTGCCTGAGTGCAGGATGTTCACATTTGCAAATGTTATTCACCTGGCAAAGGCTGGCATTGTCAATGTAAGTTTTGTGTGAGGTTCAGGGTTTCAATGTTTGGAGAATTTTGGACGGGTTAAGCTGGTTGAAAGGTTAGCACTTGTCCTCCTCCTCTTATTCCTCTTTCTCTTCCTCCTTTACCCCTTCTCCCTGTTCTTCTTGGTCTTGCTGTTGTCAGGGATAACTGTCATCACAAAAAGTGGCACCCACGTGTGAACTTGGGAAAGGATGCTCTGTGAATGCTTATTCCGCGGGGTTATGGCTCTGGGCAGGGCTTGATCCCTGGACCTCATGTTGGGTGTCGGACTTTACTTTTCTGATGTGTCCTCTGTTCAATTCTGCCACTTCGTCAAGTTTCTGTCAGTTTCTGTCCGTCAGTCATTTTTTGTCAGTACACTTCTGGTACCGACTTTTTCTGGACGTACTCTTCAGACCATCCTAGCCGTTTCCAGGTATATGTACCGATCATGTACATCTTCTGTGACAACTTGTGGTGCAAGCGGTTAATCATGGTCTGAAATTTCAGTATTGAAAATCGTGAGTGAAAAAAAAGGGAAGGATCCATGAATTAAGGATGGTGAGCTCCCCCTTACATTTAGGCTTGAACGATAGCATTCAGGTTTCTCAGGGGAAGGTGGAGTGGTGATGGTACTGAAGATCCTTGAGTGTGAAGTGGTGAAAATGTTGAGGGGGGGGGATTGGGGTTGAGGATACTGAAGTATGCTGAAGTGGTGAAAAAGCTGAATGGGATGCTGAATGGTATGCTGAATGGGATGGTGAATGGGATGGTGAATGGGAAAGCGTGGTAAAGCTCTGAAGATCCTGAAGAGTGCTGAAGTGGTGTTGTTCAATGGAGGAAGGTTGAAGATCCTTAAGGTGGTCAAGGAGTGTAAATGCTTCAGGGTGTAAATCCACTCCCCTTTCACTTGGTGAAGATCTTAGACCTCTTCAGATTCATGCACCCTCACGCTCTCCCCAAGGGTCTGAGTCCACTCCGCTTTTGCCTGTTCTTTTAGTTGGTGAGTACGCTCCGAGTTTTACTGAGCCTGGGTCCCACTCCATTTTCTTTATGGTACTCTCACGGGAAAAAAAAAAAAAAAAAAAAAAAAAGTTGCGGCTGTGAAACTGACGAAACAAGAAAACTGGAGCAAAGAAACAAAGCTCTGGCCGTGATTGCAGTTGTATACATTATTGGAAGTGGTAGCGTGAGTGTGCCCTCAGTGAGGGTCTCAGCCCCGTGGCCAGATTGTCAGATTCCATAAACAAAAAACAAGAAAAAAGGAAACATGGATTCAGCCGTGAAAATGGCTGGATACATTCTCTGAGGAAACACACCTTGAGCAGATCACGGATTCCGCCCTGCCTCATTGGCAGGGGACTCGTAACAAAATCACGAGAAAGAAAAAAAAAGGAAACAACAACTTTCAAAATGTGACCGTGTTTGCCGTAAATCTGTAGAGGAAGACTGTCAGCATGGCCTCCTAGACTACCCTGCCCGACATCATTGCAGTACAAAAAGCATTTTTTTTCCCCTTTTCCTTTCACGCGCGGGCAAAAGAAAACTAAGATTTATGGGACTTGCTGACTCTGAGTTCTACCCCCGAATTCTTCGGGAACAGGCTAAAACTCGTAATTTCCCAAGACTGCCAGAGGTACTAGTGGTTTAACGACTCGAGGGGCACTCTGCAGTGTCTTTCTTGGAAATCCAGTAGAGATCATCTAACGGGTGATAGAGAAAATGAACTTGATACGTCTGCCTCTCCCTGTTCCACAGTGTGCAACAATTCTGACAATCGCGTGACCACCGTTGATAGCACGAGGGATCATAGGCTCACGAACAACCCCTTCACAATTGGCAATTCTTCATCCCACGAGTTCTGATCAATAACGATAAGAGCCCGGAAAAGTTGTGTGACATTCTGGTTGATCTCCTCAGCCAAGCCGTTAGCTTAGGAATGTCATCATAGAGTTGAGAAGTGAAGTCCTTCCAATTTGCACTTAAGAATTCTGTATCCCGATCACTCAAAAGAGTCTTGGGGGAGGGGGCATATTGCCGATGTACATCTTATGGTACTGTTTGATCACAAGTGCAGTTGGGGCGTGAGATGGCAATGGAATCAGATTCAGAAACTTTGGAAAATGGTCAATAATCACCATCACTTAAGAGTAACCTTTCACACTTGCGTTTCCCATGTTCGTAAAGTCAATGGAAACCGACTCTCCAGGATCGTCAGGGATGGGAAGAGGATGGAGTAGCCCATAGGGCTTTTGTATAGAGGCTTGATTCGTTGACAGACTTGACACTCGACGACAATCTTGTGGGCATATCCTTTCATTCTAGGCCAATCACATCGTTGCAATAGACTTCCATGAGTTTACTCGAAACCGAAGTGTCCACTTCGGCCATGAGCGAAGTCCAAGAAGTAGGTGCGGAGAGGCTCATGGTTAGGTACACACTACTTCCCATAACGTTGGAACAACGGACCCTCACTCTCGTGAAAATCAGGCTAACTGCTAGGTTTAGCCTTGAGATGCTCGAGGATGGCACTAAGCTCCGGATCCTTAGGGAGTTTTCTTTACTAACTCCTCCTTAAGTTTCCTTCGGCGGTTGTAGGAGCCCACAAGGCAAGTCATGTACACGGGATGGCGAGACAAAGCATCCACAACGCGATTGTAATATCCTTTCTTGTGCTTCAATTCATAATCAAAGACATCAATTTCATGCAATCTGCGGATCAGTGTGGTGGACAGGCTAATCTGCGACTTAATCCACCGCAGAGTCTCGTGATCTGAGAAGACTTCGAAGTGATGCCCCAAAAGATAGTGCTTCTGATGTCTAATGCCTCACGCAAAGCATAAAGCTCGTGGATGTAAGAGCAAGTAGCTAATGCCTCACGCAAAGCATAAAGCTCGTGGATGTAAGAGCAAGTAGCTACCTTTTCGTTGGGCATGTGTTTGCTGTAGTACTCAAGCGGACACAAGCCATCACCATCATCTTTTTGCAGCATTGCGCCAATCTCATACTGGCTCACATCCGTTGTGACTACGAATGTAAGGTTGAGATTTGCAATGCGGAGTACATGATGACTAAAGCCTCTTTCAAGGCTTGAAAGGCAGCCTCACGATCCCTATCCCATGTGTAAGATACATTCTTGTTGGTTAGTCTAAACAGTGAGTGGCAAATGACAGAAACTTTGGGAACAAATTTCCGGTAGTATGACACAAGACCAAGAAATGAACGCAGTTCACGGACATTCAATAGTTGAGGCCGCTTGCGAATGACCTCGACTTTGGTTGCCTCAGGCTCAAGGCCTACAGCAGACAACCGGTGTCCAAGGTAGATGACGCGGTCCCTCCCAAACTCAGATTTCTCTAAGTTGCATAGAGTTGCACATCCTTGAGGATTCTTAACACCTGCTCAACGTGTCTCATGTGCCCATCTATCGATTTGTTGTAAATGAGAATGTCATCAAGATAGACAACAACAAACTATCTGATTTCGGAACATTCTATCCATGAAACTTTGAAAGGTGGCTGGTGCGTTCATGAGACCGAAGGGCATGACAATGAACTCACACAACCCATCGCGCGTTTTAAACGCAGTTTTGCGCTGGTTTGTCGGATCAACTTCAATCTGGTGGTAACCAGACCTGAGGTTGATCTTAGAAAAGACCTTGCACCCACCTGCAGCATTAAGCAAGTCGTCACCACTTGCAACATTAAGCAAGTCATCAGCGTGTGGCCTAGGACATGCATTCTTCCTTGTAATTTCGTTCAGTCCACGATGGTGAATACACATCCGAAGTTTGCCTCCTTTCTTGGGGACGAATAGACTGGTGCGCCAATTTCGGACTCACTGATTTGATCCACCCATTGTCAATCATATCATCAATCTGCCTCCGCAGTTCCTCCAACTTGCCGGTCCCACATTGTACATAACCTTTTGGAGTGAAACGGTTTTCACCCTTCGCAGTAGCAGATGCAAATCCCAGGGCTCGATCCCTAGTCCTTACCCCACCGTGTACAGTACCTGTGTAGACCCCGAGAATTGAACCCGTGACCTGTGTACTAGCAAGTAACTGGTAGGCTGTCATAGGTCCGTAGGTTGTAGGGATTCGATCAGTAGGCCTGTCGAATAGAAGTCTTAGTGAAGTCTAGAAGTCTTAGATGTAGCCTTCTAGAAGGTCGGCAAGTGGACAAGTGGGCAAGTGGTGAGTCAAGTAGTGGACTAACCGTAGTGCGATTGCAGTATGACCTCAGTAGGACAGTAGTGAGTCCCTAAGCAGTCAATGGTGCAGTCCAGTCAGTCCCGGTCCGGTCCAGCAAGTACCATGAGGGACTGTGTGCACCATGGGCCGATGGAAAAGGGGAGACCAACGAGCTGCAGAAGTATAAATCAAGAGGCAGCGCCCAGCCATTCATTCATTCTTGCGTGAGCCATGCGGAAGCGCTGCCACAGCAACTTGTGCAAGGAGGTCTGCAGTGACGCCCGAGGACGAAGTGGGCAGAGAGACGGAGAGTAGCCATAGCGATAGGGTAGAGGCGGCCACATCCGCCATAGCAGTAGTCGAGGTTCAGTGTGTGGGTGTGTGAGTGTTCCGAGAGTGGCGTGTGGGATATCCAGGGTGATCCGGTGTATGCGAACAAAGAGTTGTTTGGGCGCTGAGTCGCCATAGCCATTGAAAGTGAACTCATATCTGGGTTGCCATATCTCTGAGTTTTGAGTGGGCGCTTGTCGCCAGTTGCTGCGCTATTGTTTGCATGCATGAAAAGTGTGAGTGAAAGCGAGTCTGATTGCAGGAGGAACGCTGCCTTCAATCAACTTGATTTTGTGCTTGACTGGACACACGGGAACTCTACGTGGTTCGGGCAAGACTTCAAGGAATCGGTTGAGAAGGCTGTGAATTGGGAGCCAAAATAACGAAATTTGAAGTGGAATCATTTGGAC